TTCATTGCAAAACAGACCCTGATCTCTTTATATTTACTTTTCATTGCAAAACAGACCCTGATCTCTTTATATTTACTTTTCATTGCAAAACAGACCCTGATCTCTTTATATTTACTTTTCATTGCAAAACAGACCCTGATCTCTTTATATTTACTTTTCATTGCAAAACAGACCCTGATCTCTTTATATTTACTTTTCATTGCAAAACAGACCCTGATCTCTTTATATTTACTTTTCATTGCAAAACAGACCCTGATCTCTTTATATTTACTTTTCATTGCAAAACAGACCCTGATCTCTTTATATTTACTTTTCATTGCAAAACAGACCCTGATCTCTTTATATTTACTTTTCATTGCAAAACAGACCCTGATCTCTTTATATTTACTTTTCATTGCAAAACAGACCCTGATCTCTTTATATTTACTTTTCATTGCAAAACAGACCCTGATCTCTTTATATTTACTTTTCATTGCAAAACAGACCCTGATCTCTTTATATTTACTTTCGTTGAGTTGGAAGCCATTGGATAGAGACTGCCTGGAAAAACTGTCTACAGCAGCTTGAATGTTACTTGGTTGGCCTTCTTTTAATGTTTTTCAAACTACTTCACACCAGAAAAAACAGTATTTTAAAATACTGGCTAGACTCCCTACTAAGAGAATATGATCAATACTGAGATCGATATTAATCAAAGAATCGGCAACATTTGGTGTAACAATGTCATCTATATTGATTTCTTTTCTCGACGATGTTAAAAAATGGTTACAAAGAAATATTTTCCTATCTAAGTGGAAAAACGCAGTAAACTAAATTTCAAATACTTCTTAGTTTCCAGACCGATGCATTGGCAATTGTAGGTTTGAAGTGAATTTATACCATGAATCCACACAATCAGGGCTACTCATATCGTATGTCAAGTAAAAAATACAGTACAATGGTCCCAGAAATTACGCTTCAACTACGACACTTAAGTCACAAAAGTTGTAAGGTAGATAGGCATGAAGAAAAGACCCTTACATCGCGGTCAAATGAATGTTTTATTTGCCTTTGCCTAGAAGGTATAAGGCG